GGTTTGGGAGATTTAGTGATGCAGTGACGGAATTTGGTTTGCATAGAAGTGCTTATGATCATTTTGTCTTCTATAGGCAATCTAGTTCTGGTATTCTTCTTCTTGTTGTTTATGTTGATGACATTGTAATCATTGGTAATGATAATGTTGGTATTCATAGTTTGAAAATCTTTTTGGCTTCCAAATTTCACACGAAAGACTTAGGCTCTTTAAAGTATTTTCTGGGAGTTGAGGTTTCTCAAAGTAGGAAAGGGATTGTCTTGTCTCAATGCAAGTATATGTTAGATTTGTTGACTGAAACATAGATTTGTTGACTAAAACAGGTCTAATTGGAGCCAAGCCTTGTGATACTCCTATGGTTCCTAACGTAAAATTGAATGCTAAGGATGGAAAGGTGTTTGATGATCCAGAGTGATATAGACGAATAGTTGAAAAGTTGAATTGTCTTACAATAACTCATCAAATATTGCTTTCTTAGTGAGTGTGGTAAGTCAATTTATGTCATCTCCTAGGACACCTCATTGGGATGCGATTCTTCATATTTTGAAATATCTCAAGGGGGCTCTTGGACTTGGGATCCTTTATAGTAATCATGGCCACAGTAAAGTGGAATGATTTTCAGATACATATTGAGCAGGATCATCTGTAGACAGGCGTTTTGTGACTAGATTTTGTGTTTTTGTTGGAGGGAATCTTATTTCTTGGAAAAGTAAGAAACAACCGGCTGTAGCTAGATCAAGTGTAGAACCTGAGTCTCGAGCTATGGCACAAATAACTTGTGAGCTTATATGGACAAGATATCTCCTTATAGAAGTTGGAATTGGTGATCCAGGGATTATGGACTTGTGGTGTGATAGCCAAGCAGTCATACATATAGCAACAATCCAATTTTTCATGAGCAGACAAAGCATATAGAAGTCGATTGTTATTTTGTGCAAGAGAAACTTGAACATAAATTAATTTCCACCAAACATTTTAGAATAGGGGAACAACTAGCTGATTTCTTTACTAAATCTCTAGTTGGAAAAAGGATAACCTATATTTGTAACAAGTTGGGCATGATAGATATATATGCTCTAGCTTGGGGGGGAGTGATAGAAGTTATGTGTATAGAGTTAGGGGTATATGTGTAAATATAAGGTAGTAAAATATATATATAGGGTGTAATATTATTTTATTATGATTATTGAATAAACTACAGTAAAATATTTTATCACAGTTTGCAAGTAATAAAATATTACTGGTATTTTTTATTGCAAATAGTGTTTAATATTGGTAATGTAGGGGGTAATCAGATACCCTTCCAATGGGCTGTTATTAAGAGATTACTAAAGTAATCTGATTTTCATACTTATTTTGGCTTTAATTAAATACCATTTCGGACACAATTGTCCTCAAATGTCTACCAAATAACAATTACCTAGCCCCCCAACATTTGAGAAATTAGCTAAAATACCCCAGTCACGAAAAAATTTAAAAGTTAAAAAAATACCCCTAGCCACCTAAGACCACCGTCGGCAGTCACCATAATGGCACATGACCGACAGGATCTAGCCGATCGTGCGCCACAGATCCATGGTTGGAAACAGCCATATCTAGCCGTTTCACGGCCAAATCGGGGTGGATGGGGGTGATTTTGCTATAAATTAAAGTTTTATATGGTTGTGATGTTTTAGCAAAATTTCAAATGTAGGGGGTTAAAAAAATAATTCAAAAAAAATATTATATTAATTTTTAAAAATGAGGATAATTTAGTAAACTATATAACATACTCACCCATTTATCCTCCCAAGCAAACTTATAAATATAATATACTCATCAATTTATTCCAACCAACCAAACACTTTTCTCTAAATATTCCAAGTAATTTTCAAGATGATCTATCTTTCCAATAATATAACATCCTTCTATAATAAAACATTATATAATCCAAACGCACCCTATAAGATTTTTATAGTAATTTAAGATTTTTATAGTAATTTAAGATTTTCACTAAAATTATTNATAAATTAAAGTTTTATAGTTTTATATGGTTGGGATGTTTTAGCAAAATTTCAAATGTAAGGGGTTAAAAAAATGATTCAAAAAATAATATTATATTAATATTTAAAAAGGAGGATAATTTAGTAAACTATATAACATACTCACCCATTTATCCTCCCAACCAAACATATAAATATGTATACTCATCAATTTATTCCAACCAACCAAACACTTTTCTTTAAATATTCCCAGTAATTTTCAAGATGATCTATCTTTCCACTAATATAACATCTTTCTATAATAAAACATTATATAATCCAAACGCACCCTATAAGATTTTTATAGTAATTTAAGATTTTTATAGTAATTTAAGATTTTCACTAAAATTATTAATAATAATATGATTATTAATTAAATTAAATTAATTTCAGATGACATAAATTACAAATTCTGTAAATTCTGTATTATTTGGTTAGTTGTTACAAGGCATTCCAATAACTTATTATTCTAATTTCATTTTTGCATGGTTTAATTAGAAAATATTTATAAGAAAAAATCATATTGAGATAGAAAAATAAATTTTAAATACATAAAATTTGTTATTTATACTTATAGTGAACTATAAATAACTAATTGTTATAAAAAAAAAAATGAATATAATAAAATAGAAATTGACTTTTTGTGACTGAAAAATTGTTGAAATTGGAAAAGGGAAATAGAAAAATTAAATTTCATCTTAGAGTTATATCTTTATATCCAAGTTTCAAATATTATGATACTACACATACAAAATTTCTATACAAAGCTTTTTATACAATATGACATGACAAAACTCGTGTGTTGTTACATCATTCACCATAATTTAATATTTATTTATTAACTTACTTTTTGTACTAATTTGTCTAATCATATTTTGACATATTATTTTATTTAAGAAATTTTGTATCAACTACAATATTAAATATGGACGTCACCAATTTATTTCTATCATAAGGTTGCCTTTGGAAGGTAAGACTGGATTAGATTAGGGTTTGGAATTAGGATAAGATTGAATTAAAATAATATTGTTTTATGTTTGATAAAGTATGGGACTGTATAAGAATATTTATATTAAAAATTAATTAAAACATTAGACATTTAAATATAATTTAGTAATAATTATTAAACTATTACATTTGAAATTAATTATTAAATAATTATATAAATTTGTATATTAATAATTAATTATCATTATATAAATATATTATTTTATAATATTTTCATGAATAATATTTTAATATTAATTATAAACTATAAATAAATCTAATAAGAATATTTTTAACGTAAAAAAATAAAAAAAATAGAAAGTAAATCCCAACTTAGAAGGAGATTGGGACGGGTCTAAAAATGTTGGGATTTGACTATTGTTAAAAGGATAGTCCAATCAGACCTCTAATCCCACTCCCCAAACCAATGTTTTAAAAACTAGATCGAACGTTGACTCGGTTAAGAGTCTGGTTTCCAATTTAACCAACAATTGAACCGTTGACATCATTAAAATAAAAAAAATTTATTGAATACATAAAAACTTCGATCTTTTTCACTTTCTCCTTCTCACTCCTTTCCTTCACCATTCCTCTCTCTTTAATTAATTTCTTTTCGTTGCATATTCCCAAATCCCAAGTCCCAACACTTTTTAATTTCAAACTCTTTCATCAGCAAAAAGCCTCTTCTTTTTCTCTGTCCTTTTCTCCACCACTCCTTTTTCTCTCTCATTAATTAATTTCTTTTTTTTCATATCCCAACACATTTCAATTTCAAATATCAAGCTTTCCCTTTTATCAATAAGTAAAAATAAAAAAAGCAACAATTGTCAACTAATTTTCATGAGGGAAACTGAAGAACAGAGAGGGAAGTGAGGAGAAATGAATAAAATCCATGGGAGAAGGAAGCCAAGGGAGGTGCGTGGATAAAAAGTTGAGAGGAAAGTTGGGGTTCATTTTACAGATTTGATGGCTTCTCATTAGTTCTCACGGGGAAGACTGAAAGCAGCAAACGGAGAGGGAAGTGGGGAAGAAATGAAAATAGAATCATGGGAGAAAGAGTTAGGGGAGTCGTGTGGATAAAAGGTGAGGGAAAGTTGGGGCCATTTTACAGATTTAGCGAAAATTTTCATAGGGAAGACTAAAATGGATAAATTCTGAGAATTAGAGAGTTAGGAGTGAAGATGAAGAGGAAGGTGGGCATTTTCTTAGTGACCTACTGGACTGGTTGGACTGGCGGTTTGATACTGTTGACTGGTCTAATCCGATCCAAATGACATAACGGTTTTGATTATGTTTTAGACCGATAAAGGACCGGTCGACGGTCCAACCAGCCGGTCCGGTTTTGAAACACAGCCCCAAACATCCAGTTTAATAGTGTTTCTGGTAAATTGTTGCTTTCTAGGACTATTTCTACTTCTTAGGTCATTTTCGTTTTACCACTTTTTTTTTTTTAATTAGAATTCCCGAAACTGAGTTCGAAATGAATCCTACATCTAACATTTTCTATTAATACAAATTTGTAAAACTCTTCTCTAAATATATAAGATGACTGTAATATAGAATATCAAATTTGGCCCTTTTTGTGTTCGGTTAAGGATTTGCCTTAAAATATTACAGAATTTCAATATACCATGGCAGAAACAAAAAAAAGGAAATAATATAGTTTCATACATAATTTACATAATACTATTAACCCATTCCAAAATTTCCTACAAAATTTCACTCTTGCACAGATTCTCTAATATACAATACAATCCAGAGACGAACATCGCCTTTTTCTTGTACAGACTCAGACGTAAGAAAAAAAAATGGGTCATCGGAATAGAACTCAAAATTGAAGAATGCATGCCCTTGATTTATGCAAGACATATGCTGATCATAACATGAAGCAGCTGCAAGGTTATCGGCTTAACCATTCTTACAACTCATGATTGCACGCATCTTGTATACGCCAAATCCTCAATTCTCACGAAAATATGTAAAGGCTCCCTAAATTCTCACGGAAAATATGTAAGGCTGCTGCAAGGAAAAAAAAAACTGAAATTAACTTTCAATATGAGATCACGATATTGTCTACGGCCCTGGTGAAGTTTGCCCCTTTTCATTGTCAATTTAGGCACATAATGGAGTTGTATAGTGTTGGGCCAAAACCTTGAGTCAAATACATGAGATAATTCCTCAACTTTCTGAAGATCTTCACGATTTCCGAATAATAGAGCAACTCGAGTCAGGTTTCAGTCAAATTGAAAAAGGAAGGAAAATTAGTAAAATCTAGACCAGAATGAACTATTTATATAACTATCCCTTGTCTATATTGAATATTGGTTTCAGAAGACCCATAGATAATTATTGAAGATGGTCTGGGTAAAACATTCAAGACTCACCAGGGCATCTAGCTTCATTAGTTGGTCACGAACATCCTTCTAAATTGTTGGTACCTTATTAGGTAGCATACTTGTAACCATCTTTAGTTGATCATATGCACATTGTATTTTGTGCCTTTCTTCGATATTTATGTTGGCTTCCTCTGAGGACTGCTTAAACAATGAAAACAGACCAAAAGAATAAGTTCATTAAATCTAATCATGCCACCCGTGACATCAAAGCTCATTCATGCTGTCAATCAAAAGCAAAATTGTATGCCGGGAACTTCACATACTAAGTACCAGCCAACACTAATCGGTATCAATCTAAGTGTCTTCTGCCAAATCAGATTACTCTTATGTATGACAGTACGAGTTACACCTAGGATAGAAACTGTACTTAAAGAATATCAAGAAACATAAGGGAAAAGTGATATTTTTACATCAGTGAAGGGAAGATGACATTTTCGCTGCATGTCAGGCCCAAGTTATTTGTAAATCAATGGCTTCCAATCAAGTGAGTTTCTCAGAAATTTGCTATGTCGGCAAGTTAATTAAAACTAGTATGGCATAGCTGCATACAAAATGCATGAGGTTTTTTGAGAATGAGCGAATGATATCCATACCAGGCACATCTGATTCAATATTGAGCTAGTATAATCAAGGTCCTATAAAGTTATCTAACATTCGAGTGTATCAAAATTAGCACACAAAAATTTTTGACTATCAAATCAGATTTAAGATACTGCAGGGTTTTAAGGTGTTATTTTTCTTTTAAACATATTGCTAATCATTGCAGCAATCATGAATATTAAACAAGGAGATATTAGAAATAAAAAATAGTAAAGTACTTTGCAGGTAGCATGTGTTATGACTGAGATGAAAATAATACCTGCAAAGACATTATGCTCTTTAAAATGTGGACCATCTCTTCCTTGAATGAAGAAACAATTTTTCGAACTTTAGCATCCTTATGCATCAACAAAATCGCAGAGACAACAGCATTTATTCTCTTTGAACGGTCCATTGCATATTGAACATAAATTTGATCCAACGATGATGAACTACTTTGAGTTATCAGTGAACCCATCTTGTTCAAAACAAGTTCCAGTAGCTTGTGGCTTCTATCAAACAAGAAAAAGCACGGTAGAATATAATAACGGCATGTCCGTGTACGAGTAGGGACAGTAATCTCATCATCTTCTGGGATGCACTGAATAAAAGAGCATAGTGTCAAAATTCCAGCTTTAAACAGGCCGTGCTTGGGCCAAGGTAATTTAGATATTTCTGGGCATCATTCTAAACAGTAATAATAGGCTTAAGGATTCTTAAAACATATGGTGCCAAAAGAATGTCAGAACATTTTCCTACAAAAAGGCAAACTTAATTTAAGATAGCCAATAAAAATGAATATCATATAAATTCACATATACCCCAGGTCCAGGAGATCCAAAACTGAAACCAGAAGGTAAAAATGGCTCTGTATTTTTCAGTCAGTAAGAAAATAACACTCGGGTGAATTTTCTTCTCAGTCGAACTGTAAGATACTTTACGTTGTGCGTGCAAAAGTGCACTTTAAAAAGGCTCAGAAGTTAGTTTCATTATGATTAATCCCTCACAATAGGCAAGAACTGAACCCCGCTAAGCCAATCAGAACTTGATAACAAGAAAAAGAAGCAAGGAATTCTACCGAGAAATAAATAAAATTGGTTTTCAAACAGCCAAGGGCAGATTTAAAAAAAAAAGAAACTGCTTACATGAGCAACATCAACTACATATCCTGAAAGATAGTCGCTCAGAGTGATGACACCCTGTTCCGAAAATCTTGTGGGTTTAGAGTCTAGTGTAACAAGCATCCTGAGCATGGCACATGCATTGTCTAGAGGAGGCTTTAATAACTGCAACATAAAAAAAAGGTTCTGTAAGTGCTTCATGTTTCCAGAAATTTCTTAAAGGCCTTATATTAGTCAACCAAAAGATGAACTGCACATCAGTATGTACTAAACAAAACAAATTCCGACACAACATCCTCAAAACCCAAAATACTCGGGGAACAGTCAAGATCAAGATCATGGTGCAACAAAAACATCACTGTTAAAAAAAAAAAAAAGAAAAAAAAAAAGAAAAAAAAAAAAGAAAATTCGTCAGACAAAGAAATACAACTTACTAGTTGGTTAAGTATTGGTTTCTCTAGTATCTGGAAAACAAGAGAATTATCACCCATCTGTGAAAGGCATGAGCAGACAGCATTGGTGAGCAGCTTGAAAGTTCCACGATTTGAGATCTTCGCATCACTCTCTACTGCCGGATGCATAGTTTCTGCAAATGCCAAAGCCTCTTTCAATTCCAGATAATATATATATTTTATATCAAAAGAAGAAATATTAAAATGAAGGACAAAGTGAAAAGCAGCTGACATAAGGGACTCTAGTGCTAATAGTTACTTTAAATCTTCAACTGTGCCAGGGGTTTTGAGCATTTAATAGATGAAAAGTTCTCAAGCTAAAGTTTAGGATTATGTCATTTTAGACAACAATTTACATTTAAAATCTTTCTGTCTGCTTATGCTTTATACTTGCAGGGAAAAAAAATGGTTTTGCAAATTTATCACTCTTAACAAGCTAACCACCACAAATGATGTATAAAGCCTGCTAAATAGAAATCTATTTAATACCAAACAGCAGATGTGCCAGGCAATATAAAATAAAAAGGCAATTTAACCAATTTGGAAAATGAATCAAAGAAACAAATGTTCTAAGAAACCACCGTAGAAGTTTAAATACAACTGCATTAGTCATATGTTCAACTTTGTCGATTCAGTAACTACATTATAACATAACACAAGGTGGTAATATGTTTGTTTCTATTTCATGCTATTTGTGTTTGTATCAATGTGGCGAGTCCATTCACTAAAATTCAGTCATGGAGCACATTAGAGTTTAACTACCACTGTTAAGCTCTTTCTACATGCTTGAACTTTAATGGTTAGTCAACAATCATGAACAAAAAGATAACTACCATAAAAGAAAAAATGACTGTAGTACCAGGGAAAACTCTAAAACGGGAAATTAAAGTGATGAAGAAACTAATGTGGTCAGCAATCTGGATATGCCCAGCATTGAAGGCAGAATGCAGAATCTCTATGATTCGAAATAGCATAAATGGCTCCAACTCAGGACCTGCAAAATATAGGCAGGGAGAATATAAAAAATAATAATAATGTTTACATGATAATCAATAGAAATTGCCAAATTTTCCCTTATATTATCTTCTGACCAATTTTATGGTCCATATGATTCTGTCAAAAATAGATAAAAGCAAAAATTCCCTCACACCACATTTGACAGGTATATAAAACCAAGTACCCACATATATCTAAATGTAAAATTCACCCCTCTTTATGGCTGAACTATGGAAATTTTAAGTACATCTCTCTTCAGTTTCAGGGGAAAATGTACTCTTCTTTCAACTGCCAAAAGGCCTTCCCTGATTGTCAATCTCATTGACCCAGAGTCCAGATCATAGAAAAACATCAAAATGTAATGAAAAGAAAGGGTAATAGAAGACTCAACCAATAAATATGTAATGTACTGATTCTTACATAGGCAACAAAATGTTAGTGACTTCAGCAACAATGGACCCAAGTTAGAGAAATAATAAAGGCAGCAGACAGATAGCTCCTGAGAATCCCTGGAAAGCCTTACAAAGGGACCATCAACTATGTCTCCTGTACAGAAGGAATATTATGATTAGAAGCCAAATCCCAGTGCTCAGAGGTGCAATTTAACCAATATAAATTTCACTACCACTGATTCACACCTTCCTCTTGACATGAGCTATAGAACTTATGAAGTGTGTACTGCATGTTCTCATATTCCCAGGCAAAGGTAGAATTCAAGTAAGCACATTTTCCCAGGCAAAGTAGAATGTTCAGCACAACCTGCAGTACATTTTAATTTCAAGAAAATGGTCACTCATTTTTTATATTTAGATGGTAAACATGGCAACCAGAGAAGGTTATTATATCTGATACATAATGACCAGCTAGGTTTCAACAATTTTATCCATATTCAAAGTTCTTTTGCCTAACCGTCACAGCAAAAAGTGTTCAAGAAGTCAAACAGATAACTACCTGGGAAGAGGATGGGTAGTCATCACCTAGCAGGATTAGCAACTGGGGAAGAGCTCTTATCCATATAATCTGATGTTCAAATAAGGGATCACTTTCATCTGGGAACACCACATCATCTCTCTAAGGTTTAATTAGAAAATTTAAGAGTTAATTGTCATTACACTGAGGTTAGGAAGTGAGGAGAGATGAGAGAGAGATAAATAGATTATCAAGAGAAAGAAATTGTTCTCCAGAAGCAAAACTGAGCTTACAGGAACAAGCATTTTTTCAATTGCAGAAAGACAAGCCAACTTAAGAGAAGACTCTGGGTTGCTATCCTCAAATGTCTTGGTAAATGCCTGAAATAAAGTTTTCATTAGCACCATGATCATTCTTAATGTTCACACAATTCATCATCTTTAAGAACACAAATTGAGAACCAAATTTAAAAGTATAAGAACAGTCAATTTAAGAAAACAAGAGAAATTCAATTAATGAAATCTGCTGAGACAAGCTATCAGTGATCAAATAATTCTTGAAGTACAAGTCAAACCTGAAGAAGACGATACTTCCAATCACTTGTCACTTGCAGTAAAAGTTTTGGAAGAAAAGGCAGCAACAAAAGTAAATGCTTTTCCCAGACAGCTTTACCAGACCGTGAATCACTGCAGCCCTGCAAAGACATAAGTCAATAAAAATCTACAAGAAACAGATACCATTTGATTTTCAATGCCCAGTCTAAATAAAAGGTCTTTATAAAAATTTCAGAACATCTCAACAGCATACAAACAAATTCAGAGCAACAATTTATGTCAAGAAGAACATGTCATTAACTAAATTATATTCAAGTCCCATTTAAAGGTTAAAATGTATTTTGTTTCCTATTTGCACATTTTTTCAATTTTATAGAAAGAGGGACAACGCTGTCTTTGTAGGATGATTAAGAAAGCAAATTCCTTCTTTTTGCTTTTATTCTATTTCAAACTATCACCAGAGTGTATTCAAATGAATTAATAATGCTTAATATCCAACTATCCTAAAGGACAACTTAATCTGTTATGGTTCTAGAGGTTGAAGGACATGGACACATTTACACCCCTTATTGGCCTCCTACTTAGATATGTCCCCCAAGCCTGGCCTCAAACTACCACACACGCAAAGCAGCACCGGAGGTAGATCTGTGGAAGCTGTAACCTTTTCAAATGGCATTTTATTGTCAACCGAGTATCTTAAGCAGTGCACAGAACTATCCCGTTGCTTGCATTAATTAAATGTTGACAAACATGACAACTTCACTTGAACTTGTGAAACTCTCATACCAGCTTAATGGGCTACATCTCATTGTCCACTAGCCAATTATAATTGGGTAAGAAAAGTGAAATTTATAGTTTATACTATTAGAATAAAAAAGAATCAAATAGTAGAATTTCATAAATATATTAATAACCATCAATTGCAATTCACACCTCACCAAGCATTTAAATATAAAAAAGGTAGGAAGTTAGTTGTGAAATCAGACCTTGCCAAGAAGCGCATTTTCTATAAATTCTAGAAATTTCTCCAACAAGATTGCAGGAGGGCAGATCCACTCACTATAATGCAAAAATATTTCTGTAATAACAATGTTCAAGATAAAGTATCTATCATCAACCTGCAAAGTGTTAAGTATAAACAATTAGAGATATCTCTTACTTTAGGAAGAGCAATAAATACAAACTCATGCTATGTTTGGAATGTAAGACCCCTCATGAAGGAAAAACTACAGCGAATATGAGAGAATGGACTGCAAAAACTGAAGCATCTAAAGAGCATATAGGCAATGACCAAGCTCATAGTTCAACAGCATGACTAAATAATGCACCTTAGAAATGTACGCTAGGCATCATAGACTTCCATTATTGCATGACTATAAAGAGGGATAGGTAAGAGGGTTTTCATATAAAATAGATGTAAATTGCAATACCAAACTGAAGCAAAGCGTATAAGAAGTAGTATTCAGAAGCAAAGATAGTTATTACAAAAGTTACAAAAAGGTAATACCTTATCAGAAAGATGATGTGTTGGATTTAGGGGAAATATACTGAATAACTTTTTCAACAACACTGACGAAATAGTTTGATCCAATATTGCCACATCAGGTCCTCCAGAAGAAGGTTGTGATGTTTGTTTTCCCTGGTGGGTTCCATAAACAAAAAATCCAACTGCAAGATCTACGCTCTGAAGTATAAAATGCATACAATCAAATGATTGTGCATCCAGTGACGTCATACCATGAACCAACGGAATAAATTCTTGGAAACAGTTGACTAAAACTGGGACAAGGTCCTTTAGTTTCTTTGTGATAGAAGAAAACCCTACACAGACAAAAATGCAGAAGATATGACAACTAAAGTATATCTTTTACTAACCCAAAATAATATTAAAAAAAAAAAAAAAAAAAAAGTTAAGGAAGAAGGTAACATGATCATTTTACTAGGGAACAAGACCACATGCAAGGCATTTGATTCCAGTGGAAACTAACAAAAATAAAAAGGTAAAAAGTATGGTCAAGAATAACAGAGTAAACACAAACAAATGATGTTGTCATCAATGCAAGACTATGCACTTACAATTTAATGTTATCACTAAAATATTACCACAACCAAAAAACATAACTAAAAGCAGCACAAGATAGAGAAAAGGAATACGATATAAGATATCCTCTAAGCTTAAGCCTTACAACCAGCTAACAGAACTAAACTCCTGAAAACTGCTCGATTTATATGAGCTGACTACAGAACTTTGAATGCTAATATGAAGACCATACATCACATTAAAAACCAAGAGACAAAGGTAAAATGTGCTTTCACTTACCAGAAGCTTCTGAAGGAACTTCAGGCCCAAAAGAATGCAATATTCCTTCTCCAGCAATGTTCTATGAGATTAAGTAAAAGAGCATTAATTAAAAGGTGCTAAGAAGGCAAAAGACTTGACAATCAACACATAAGCATCTTTGACAACTATAATACATCAAAGTAAATCCTAAAGTTACTGTGCTTGAACAGAACTGTAAATCTGGAGGAAAGGTCACATTCTTCAAGAAGATTCTAAGTTAACTCTTCAAAAATTATTTATTAACTTTCTAAAAGAACTCTATATCTTTGGTCTATAATCCTTATAACTTCAACTCAAATAAAAAAACATCACCAACCCAACTAAGATTACACACCCAAAACACATAAACATTATGAGAAACCAGTAATCAAAGATTTACGGAGTAGGATAGAATAATAAATATGTTTGAAGATGCAACCTCATTGTTTCACCAAAACATTGGCTTCTATAGAGAAGAAAAATAAATGAGAGAGCAGAGATGATGTGTTCACACTTTGGTTTGATTGACAAATTGACAGTACCTTTCCACTTGTGTCTTGACTCTTTTTACATGGCGAAAGCGACAAGCAGCGTACCAACCCAGCAAGGGTGCTTTTGAGTTTGCCCTTATCTTGTAAATATAATTGGTTCTTCCGTAGAATATCATCATAATTTTGGAGAATCTGTTGATGAGACAATCAATTGTAAAACTTCCAGACATATATATGCCAGGAAAATGAAGGTAATTATATTGAATCAAAAGAAGATACAAATTTGGAGTAGGATAAGCTGTCCTGAGCACCAAGGCAGGGCTCCAAAATATTAGCCAAAAGATATAACTCATCTCTCATACTATAAACCACTAAAGCCCCTGAACCATAACAGGAAAAGGTAGTGTTTCCCTAATTAGGCCATCAAATATAAGAGATAATAGATTCAACAGAATCAAATTTGAAATAAGAAAAGTTAATATTGAAAACAACAAGTTGCGGACACAACTGGAAGAAATATATACAGGGTAAAAAGAGAAAAGAAAGGTCAGCAGTGTCAATATGATGAATAACAACTAAATCAGTACTAGAATATTAATTTTTTTCTTATCCGTGAAACAATAAGTACCAGCCCAACCAGCTTATATATATGTCTTTCCACCTGTGCCTAGCTTTTGAAACTCATCACATGTAATCATGAGCTATTAAATGAGCTCTTACATGTGTACTTTGAAGGGATAGCAAATTGATTGAAGTAAAAGAGGACAAAATAAATAGATGGGTAGATGATATGAGAGATAGAAGTAAAAGAGGATGAAATAAATAGATGGACATTGAGGGGACTGAAATGATGTTATGCTTCCCTTTTATGAATAAAGGATTGTATATATCGAGGTAGACAAACTTATGGAATTACAAAGCATAAGGCGGGTATTTGTAACTAATTTAAACCGATTAAGTAAAAGGTTTGCTAGACATATGTCTTCATTTGCTATCACTTCAAAGTTTAACACATGTAAGAGCTCATTTTATTGCTCATGATTACATATGATGAGTTTTCAAAAATAAGGCACAGGTAGAAAGCCACCTGGCTGCTAACACTCCCCCTTGAATTTCCACCATTTAAAGATATATTGAAGTAAGAAGAATGAATGTGTAAAGAGAGATGGATATGGGGCTAAACTGATATTATATGAGAATATCTTTGAAACAAACTCATACATATGACACAAAAAATGTATGGTCCTAACATAATTAATGTCAAGAGTCCTAACTAGAAAAGTATCATATATATATGTAAGAGCACCATATTTTTGACGCAAAAAATATGTCACAATTTATAAGCCATTTAATCAAAGCATTTTGGAAATACCACATTTAGATGCAATCTCAACCACTCAAATGCATTAATCTAACGGTTCAAAGTTTGTACAAAACTTGGGGAATTTGACACAAATTCCACAAGTTTGAGGCTCTTGAACCTAACAATATATATATAAATTGGAACTTGACCAATGTATATACATACGCATATATTTGTATGTTATATGTATAAGTATATATCTATTTATACATGCACAAGTATTAACTTCAGAAGTATCATAAAATATTTAATTTCATTCACAGCCAAAAATACAATGGCATAAAAATTGTTTGGAAAAAGATTATAAATTTGAAAACTGAATAATGTTTTACGTTTTCCCCAAAAAAAAACCTAAATTAGACCGATATCTGTTAAAAAAATATAACTAATAATTGCATGCTGAGAGAATAATATATTCAAAAGGAAAAGTTCCATCAATGCAAAATATATAAACCATCAGAGATCAACGTAAAAATATCTAAGAAGCCCCAGTTTTGTAATAGCAACCAAGCACTATAAACAAGCTCATTTAGTTGTTATGCATTTCTTTACCTTTTTCTTAAACAACATTATGCAGACATTATGCAATTATGAGAGAAATGAGTAGGTAAAAAGAATGCAACCTCTTTTCAAACAACTATAACAGAGATATATGAGACAAAACATGATGAGGGAAAAATACAGCATCCTAGAAAGGTAGCCTGAGATTATACAAAAAGGACGAAGTTCCATTAAAATCTTCACATTCAAAAATCAAAAACAAAAATTATGACATTAAGTACCTTTTCAGCTTGTAAAGAAAAGGAAGGTGGATAGTACTGCACAACAAGGTCCAAAAATTTAAAAGCCATCAACCGAACATCAATTGCTAAATTTGTCATTGCATTGAAAATATAGGCCATCATCAAGGAAATGAAAGGTCCTTGATTATCCTGGACAAGAAAGAGAAAAAATTAGAGAATTGGAGATATTGTTGATTCTCAAAGTATTGCATGCAAAAAAAATAGCAATGATAATGAAAAAATATCTGAAATTAGGACCGAAGTTAAATACTGCCCAACAAATATGTTCATGGGGATATCAAGGGAAAAAAAAAAAAAAAAAAAAGATATAGAGAATACTAAGTACCATATGGTTTTGATGTAAAGAATTGCAATCACATAGAAAGTGTAACACATGGTCATATACATGCGATGGGCGATAAACAAAATACACTGCAGACTAATTAGAACGGAAACAAATAGATTGGAATCGGGAAACATTGTGGTGCCATTTGGGTGTCCAGAAGCATAACTCAATGAGTATTACTATGGATTTAATTGTGACTAAGTAGCGACCTGACCAAATTTGAGAGTTCAAACACAAAACTGAAAGTGAAGAGTTACCTCTTTGCACCCAGGAAATATCACAGTCTTAAATAACTGATATAGCATTTCTCTGACAACTTTGTCATCATCACTGATACGTTCACGCAACTTTTCTATAGCGGCATATCTGTGCAACCTTAACTCTCCTGGATGCTTTTGAAATAAATCCTTAATGCCCATCAATGCATCTTCAAAAAGAAATAATTTATGTCAGCACCAACATTGCCACTTCTGTACAGAGGAATACAGTTATGGATACTAATAGTCTAAACCACAGAATCAAAAAAAAAGAAAAATAACTAGCTTAGGCACACTTCGAAAGAATTATCTCAACTTAAACACTTTTTTTCAAAATCATAATAAAGAAAGCATTCTCCAATAATAGTATGTTTATAGATCACAAATCCCAGCAGAATAGACAAACCAATGAACAATTCATTTCCAAGTATCAATCTTAGACCAGGAAAGATGATTAGCTTTTGATTCTTATGAGAATAAATATTCTCCTGAGACACAGCTAATCCAATATCGTTTTTTCTTTTATCCACAATCCTCAGCACTCATTAAAAAAAAAAAAAACAAACGAACAACACAACCACGCATCTTTTCGTTCAAAGTAACTAAAATCCCAAAATTTTCCTACTTCTGAATGATGAAATGGCGCATTACTTCCCATTATCCAATCAACATCCTCATATCCTTAATTTTAATTCTTTAAGCCACAGCATACCACAAAATTGAAATAAAATACCTTTCCGAACTTTTGTGTTGTGATGGGATGTTTGTTGAAGAAGCTCTTTCAAAGTCAAGCCCTTCTTGCTAACAGCTAATCCCGCCTTCTCCGACGCCACACTTTGTTCAGGAAGTATAATCGCTGCTCACATCACAACACAAGTTGATTTTTATCACTAGTGTTCATTACAATACACAATCCAAAGTTCGTTTCAAATAAAAATAAAAAATAAAAAATAAAAAATTCCTAAAAAAGGAAAACAAATATAACTAACAACTCAAGCTTGATATGAAAGACTCTTCACCTTTGGATTTAATCTCAGTATTTGTCGCATTCTTCGGCGGTGGCAGCTTCCTGCCAAGCTTCCGCTTAATTTTCTACAAAAAATATATATATATATATATATATAAGCATAAAAATAAGCATTATTCAAACAACAAACAAAATTAGAGGAAAACAAAGAGTAAAACTTCGTGGTTACTTTGAAGTCGACACCGCGTTGCTTTTGCGGCTTCTGCTGCTTCTTTGATGATGCCTTAGAACGGGCCATTCTGTACTCTACTACAGTATAGAGACGTAATTTTATATTCTTTGTTGTGATTTCATTCAAGAATCAAAAGAGAAAGAGAAGGAGAATATAACAAAATCTTCCGCCGTCTTGCAGAAATTGGACTACGGCGAGTTACTTCGGCGTCTTGCAAAAAGTGGATTATGGCGAGTTTTTGCAGAGAGTGGATTACGGCGAGTTTTTGGAACTAGTTTAGGCTGGGGCTTTGCCGTTGGGGGTTTAGCAGAATGAATAAAAGAATTGATTTAATTTCCATTACCTCCTCTACAGTTTGAGAAAATATAATGACAGTCCTTATGGCTGGGAATTATCTCGCGAACAGGACTAGTATCGTGACCCGAAATCAAACCCGACGCATAATATATATCCGAAATCAAACCCGACGCCGACGCATAATATATGTGTGTATATATATATATATATATATATTAAAAACAAATTTTGAAACTCTAATACCAATAAATATGTCTTAACACATTTTGAAATTCGGAAAATACATAATTCGAATTAATTTATTTAGTTATCTCTAATATTATCACAAAACATTTTTTTTTCTACAATGTTTATAAGTAATTTGAATTTAAGTTTAGAGATATTTCATTTTAGTATACTGAAGTTTATAGTCACATAATTTTTGAAATTTTTTTGTTTATTATATTCAAAACAATGAAACAATTTAATATTGAAAACTTTTTTTACCCAAATATGCAAATACATAATACAGTACATGCAAGCACACCTCATGGGCTAACACCAACACACTATTACTAATTAACTGTATGGGCAAAAAATCGTCTTGGGCCTTATCGAGCGTAACATCTACAACATGGCTCAAGACCATAGCTCAATCTTGATTAGACCCACGATAAGATCCACGTCACATGCTAGCCCAATGTGCTAACCTAATCCCTCGCGGGTTGGACCATCCAAATTGGGCCTTATCATTAGCCTACATAGGCTCAAGCCCATTGGCTCATAATATCTACTAAAGATCCAAAGTCCTATTTAAACCCTAAGAGCATCTCCAAATGACGTTTTTTATGACTCAAACTCTTTATTATAAAGAGTTTATCCATAAAAATAAGAGTCCAACAGACTCTTTATTTTTTAAATATAAATTAAAGAGTGAGTTTGGCCCTCTACATCTAGAGAGTCAAATTTCACTCCCTAGCCTAATTTTAAATAAAAAATTACAAATTTCTATACATTTTATTTATTATTTATCTCTCCTATTAAGTTTCTTTATTGAAAAAACATATTCTCTCTCCTAAAATTTAAAGAGTCTATTGGATTTAAATAAAAAATTTGTTCTTTATATTTAAAAATTAATGAAGATGTACTTTATTTATATGAAAGATGCTCTTTAAAATAAAGAGCACCATTGGAGATGCTCTAATACATCTACTTCCTATTCTATCTTTATCCTAATTCACCTAAGATCCCAAGTCTTAAATGAATGAGGACTCTCACTCCTTCAAAGGCAAGTAAATCTAGTCTTTCCTATTCACTAAGCTTATGTCATTATGGATTCAGAGTCATAATAGGATTTAAAGATCCTACAACTACTATATAAACAGAGGCTTGTCCTCTAATAAATCATTCAATCTCCACTACTCAAAACCACCTACTTGCTCCTAAGTTCTTGCTACTGAAAATTCTACACCTTTGCCATAGTCCTAGCCTCCGACAAGACTCCCAATAATCCTTATTTTCTTTAATTCTTATTAAATCGCCTCTTTCAGCCTTGCTGACTTCAGCGTCCAAATGCCTATGGCAAACTCCACCCCGGTGTTTTCCGTAAGCTTCATGCTTGTCTCTCCGTGTGTACAAGTCCAACGGATTGTCAGTGGCCTCAACTTCACAAGATCAAACCTTATTTCAGTAAACGTATATTTTTTACATTTACAATTTGGCACCCATCATGAGGCCTCTGACAATCATCCTCCCTTCAATGACCTGCTCCACAAAGAATCCCTTCATGACTGAAATCACAGGCAATGCTTCTCTAGACCTCGCAGCTCAGGTCACGACCCTCACTGACTTAATGCAACAACACACTAACAAAGTCATAGCACTGGAAACCAAGAACGCCATCATCCGGACTGAGAACCAAACCCTATGAGAGAAGGTAACTTAGTTCTACTTGATTTCCTACATAACCAAGTGCTAGAGAACTGCTTTCGCGTCCCAATAAATTCCATGCAATCTTTAATGACCCCAAACCCCAGATCCACAATCTTAGACCTCAATCATCCCAACTCCAAACATCTTTAACAGATGGCTCGGCTCCAACTACTACTACGCCTCTAGCCGAGCCAACCCAAATAGAGACCACTCAACCCATCACTCTCTTGGCTACCAAACCATTCATCTAAACAACCTTGCTCCAATAGCACCAACTAAACACGCCTATCACCTCCCCCCAGACTTATCCAGTCAGTTTGGTTCACTTATCCAGTCAGCTTTGCTTCCACTCATCTTATCGATTCAACTTCACTTATCTAGTTGGCTCGGCCTCACACGACCACACTTAGCCACTCGACCTCACTTGTTTACATGGCCTCACTTGGCGACTCGAGCTTAGTCGGCCACAACTTAGAAAGTGGAGCACTTGGCCTCCCCACTCAGCCTCACTCATCTGCAACTTAGAGAGTAGGGCGTGTGGACTCACTCGGCCTAAAGCATCCTCACTTGGCCTAGTACACCTTCGCTCGACTTGATGCCCTCACACGTCCTAATACATTCATTTGGCTTGACACCTTCACTCAGCCTCACTCGGCCTCAAACGACCTCACATGGCCTCAGTCGATCACTCGTCCTCACACAGCCTCACCTGATCACTCGACCTCACATGACCTTGTTGGAATAGGTGCCCTAGAGCCAATTAATTATCGTAGAATTGACTCTTTGTAATAATGTTTATTAATCAATAAAAGACATTTTCTACTATATCATGTAAATCATAGTTATATGTATTGATATATGTCCTTAGGATGGTAGAACCGTAACAAAAGTATCAAGTGTTTCAAATCTTGATAATGTGAACCCTATGATCACATATGGTGACCATTCTAGAAATGTTTGTTGCCCCAGTATTATTCTGACCAAGGACATAGATAATAAGGTAAGGCTATCATAGTGTTGAACGACCCTGTTAAAAGGCAGTGACTGATCTCACTTATCAAAGTTATTTGCTGACAACCTGGTGCAACACATGGGTGCTTGCTATAGGCAAGTTCATTGGACTAACTCACCACAGGATTCCATATAGATGGTAACCCTAGTGTCTATGGAACAAATCCTCCAATGAATGGTGGTGTATGTGATCCTTAGACTTGAGATCACCAGAGCGTCTTGTGCACCGATTGGTGTAGTTTAACACTAGCCCAACGTAGTTCTATTCAGAGCTATCAATACGGTAGTAATTTGCTGCATCGAGGAATGTATCAAGACTATGGTGGATGGATAGAGGATTCATCACTCCCAGGTACGGGAGAAGTTATCTCACGGCGCAATTCAGTTAATGACAATGACAATAAATATGTGATCACAGTGGGATTGAGTTGTTGCTCAATCTAATTTATTATTCCGGTTATTGGTCCAGTAGATGAATACAAATATATCAAGGATAACAGAGGTTGACACTATTTCTATGCCTTAATCTCGATGAAATAACAGATGATGAAAGAATTTGATTTCACGGTAACCATATCATTGATAGGTAGTTATTTCGCTGAATCTGAATCTATCGGGTGGCCATGATGCCTTGCTAAGGCCAATCTTAGTCTGTGTATAGTGAGACGATTAATTGGTGTTAATCGCAATACTACTCACTGTCGATATGATGAGGAGCCTGCGGGTCACACACATAGAAGATAATTTAAGAATCAGTTTGTGCAAGGGGCATTTTCGTCTTTTAGGACAAAAGGGTATTTTGGTAATCTTACAGTGCAATTAAATTTGTTGAGGTTGTTGTCTATATTTAATTTAATGTTAAAATTAAATAAGTGAGATTATCTTTAAATATATGTACACATGTATTTAAATAAATTATTATTATTAATTAAATGTTAATAAATTTCATAAATATATTAATTGACTTTAATTATAATAATAATTAATTTAAAATAAAATACCACAAGAGGGGTGTTTGGATACAAGAGTTGGAGCCCATACCTATTCCTCATTGGAATAGGATTTTGACACATGCATTATATAAGTGCATGTGTGTGTTAAAGAAATGATATAAGTCATTTTCATTCATTGAAAGGAAAAAGGGGCAGCCCCCTTTCTCTCTACCCCTCCACGTTTTGCCTTGCCCTTTGAATCAAAGTTTTCTTTGATTTTCAAGTTGATTCTTGAAGCCAATAGAGGATCTAGCAAATCTCTCTTTGGTTCTTCAGATTGTCTTTGTGTGGATCACTGTTTTTTCAATCATATTCTTGGATCAATAGCGAAGTAGATGTAAGAATTCATGCTTAGAAAGGGTAAAATTGGTGTAAAACATGGTATAAGGTCATATAACATATTATTGAAACTAAAAGGGTGAAATTGTTACCTTTTATGCTTTACAACTCTTGTAACTTAAAAAAGATTTCAAGATCTTCAACAAATTTGATGAAAATCCTCAAAGTAAAGTCCACCCCAAGATGAAAAAAAAAAGAGCCGACCATGAGAGCTCAAGAGACAGAGATTTTCAATCAAAATGAAAAATTAGATTAAATTTGGGGAATATCACTTATTTATATACAAGGACCATTTTGAAATTATTTGAAATTGTTCTCAAGTCCTTGAATTAATATGAATCGTATATTAACACTTAATACAAATTCAATATTATTTTCAAGTCCTCGAAATAATTTCAATTTAATATTAAATCATTATTGATCCTAAGTCCTTGAAACAATTTCAATTTAATATTAACTCTTTAATATTAAATCATTGATTTAAACAAATTTATAATCAAGGCATATAAAATAATCCCGTTTAATATTTAACCCATTACTGAATCCAATTCAATAATATATTTTAGTCCATCATTGAATCTAATCCAATAATGACCAAATCACCTTATTACCCTTGGTAAGTGCTAGCTTCCCATGAGTAATCATTTCTCACTAGTACATAAATTCGGATGTACACGTTTACATCTGAACATCGTTAACCTTTAACGATGTGTATTACTCTCTCTTCTCATACTTAATTTTTTGGTGTGACCACTTAGGTTCATTGTAACCTAGCCGTAGGCC